TACATCGGATCCCTACTTACAAACGGGGTGAGGCAACCCAGTACTAGCTGCTTCCCCCCAGCAGACCAGGGAGACATGAAGCTAGCGCCCCCCCTCCCCCCCCCAGCAGACCAGGGAGACACGGAGCGGCTTTTCTCAGCAGACACCTCAGCTTGAGAATAAAGGACTGAGGGAAGTGAGGTGTGGGAGAATAAAACTGAGCTCTGGAGAAATGTTTGGCTAGAGTTTCCCCTACAATATGTACCAGTTCCGACTTACATACAAATTCAACTTAAGAACAAACCTACAGTCCCTATCTTGTACGTAACCCGGGGACTGCCTGTACTATTAGAGTGTTCTATAATTCTAGGATGCTCTAATGATCCCTTCCGGCGTAAGCACTATGACTTTCTGACATCGCAAACCGCGAGAAGCCAGAACCTCGGATGTTCATTTTGCTGTTCACAGACGGGCTTCCTAGCCCGGCGGTGAAACCCACAGAACCCTTTTCACTGCGGCGTGCACCATTACCAAGGTGGGTGGGGCTGCAGCCGCAGCGACACGTGACTTCACTTCCCTGGTGTAGCCAACGCCGGCGGGTGGGAACTGGCATTTCACCAGGGTTTCCCGACACCACGCCTGACCTCAGCAATCTGGAGCTGCGCTCAGACCTCGCAGCACCCACCCGAAGGTGGGAGACTGCCAAGTCGGGATCTGCTTCGCCTGCTTTCCTTGGCTAATTAAACAGGCAATTAACATTTAAAATAAATATGATTAACGATAATAATTATTACTGTAGTGCCTAGGGTGGCAGGCAGTGCACGGACACAGAACGAAGCAATGGTCCCTGTCCACAAGGCGTGCACAAGCCGCCCCTTTGAGTACATTTTTCTGTGCGTCCCTTGCTCTTAGACTCGCAGGGGGATCTGCAGTTTGGGCTCCAGAGCACCCCTGCGGGGCTTGCTTTCCCCCCTCCCTGCACCACGGCAGGGAAGAGAGCCCCATGTCCCTGGCAACATGAGCATGGCATCTCTGCAGGGGACGCTGGAGATGGGTGTGCAGCATCAGCCCCCTCCCCCCACTGAGCATGGTGTGCAAGCCTTCCTCCCAGGCACACACGGTGCCCCCTCCCTGAGAGTCACATTTCGACATCCCAGGCGCCTGCCCATGCACAGACACACACGGCGCGCAAATCCCCTGGGATAGCACCTCCCCCTTGGGATCACGGCCCGGCGGCGTCACCCTGAGGGTGCCCACTGGGGCCCCCGGGCCTCCAAGGGGGGTAGGGAGGAAGGGCTGGACAGGAAGCAGCGCAAAGCTCCCTTTTGTGTGGGCACGGAAGCCACCTCGCTTTGCTCCTAATGCGCCGCTGATTGATTGGAGTCTAATGTTTCCCCATCAGGTGCTGTCTCCCTAGCCATGGCCCCTCTGGCCTCCGTTCGAAGGGCCGGAGTCAGTTTCCAGCCCGGGAACAAGAAGAGGCATTATCACCTTTGGGCGGACTGGCTGGTCCTCTTCTGGACTCCCCTCCTCTCTGCTCCTTCCCCCACATCCCCACTTTCAGTCAGCCCCTTTGATCTCACAGAAGTCCCTCTGCATCTAAGGAGGGGCCAGGTATTCAGCCTGACCCGGCTACAGCTCAGTGCCAGGAAGTGGCTTTTCCTGGTTCTATGCTTTAAAGAGATCCGGGCATGTAGCACCTCGCTCAAGCTTTGGTTAAAAGCCCTCTCTCCCGCCAAAACATTGGTTTTTTTAAATCACAGGATTGACTTAAAAAATCATGAGAGTTTTTAAAAATTGTTTTCAATTTGCTTGTTCTTTCGAATCGTTGGGGGGGGGTTCGCATTTTTGTGGTCTGATCCGCTGCTACAAAAGCGTATTTACTTAACAAACTCTGACATAGCGGGACCACATGAGTCAGGGAGCTGGGGCTTTCCCCTCTGTGCACAGCCAAACGCAAAAGTGTCACTAGCAGCCCGGGCTGACGGCTTGTCGACGTCCGTGGGACTTTTGTATCCGCTTAACTTGCAGCATGCGCTTAGGGTTGCCAAGTGTCCGGTTTTGAATCAGACAGTCCAGCATTCGAGCTTTCTGTTCGGGAAACAAATTGAGACCCATGACCCGTGAGCCAGAAAACTGCACTCAGTCAAACTCAGTAAGTGTAGAGAAACTAGTGCGCTGTGCATACCAGTGCATTGTGTGTACTAGTGCATTTTCCATACTCGTGCATTGTGCATACCAGTGCATTGTGTGTACTAGTGAATTTTGCATATTAGTTCATTGTGTGTATTAGTGCACTGTGCATACTAGTGCATTTTGCATACCAGTGCATTGTGCATATTAGTGTACTGTGCATACTAGTGCATTTTGCATACTAGGGTATTGTGCATATTAGTGCACTGTGCATACTAGTGCATTTGCATACTAGGGCATTGTGCATACTAGTGCACTGTGCATACCAGTGCACTGTGCATATTAGTGTACTGTGCGTACTAGTGCATTTTGCGTATTAGTGCACTGTGCATACTAGTGCATTTTGCATACTAGGGCATTGTGCGTAGTAGTGCACTGTGCATACTAGTGCACTGTGCATACCAGTGCATTGTGCATATTAGTGTACTGTGCATACTAGTGCATTTTGCATACTAGGGTATTGTGCATACTAGTGCATTTGCATACTAGGGCATTGTGCATACTAGTGCACTGTGCATATTAGTGTACTGTGCGTACTAGTGCATTTTGCATACTAGAACATTGTGCGTACTAGTGCATTGGGCTGTAAGCCAGGATGGAGCAAGAGCAGAATCACAGCCCTGGTCTCGATTTAAGGACTCCATACTTGAGATTTCCCCCACCCCGTGGCACTTCAAATCAGTAACCTCGCCCGTGAATGCTCATTCAAGGTCACGGCGTGCGGCAGGGCCGGAGACAGGAATAGAAGCCAGACCTCTTAACAGTTCCAATCACAAAACCACCTTTCCTCTCCGGTAACATGAGGCCGTGCGGAGAAACGGGGCGAGCGTGACGGGGGCGGGGGCGCTGGAAAGCTGATCGGATTCATTGATTGGCAAGTAGAGTGAACCCGGCGCTAGCTTCCCAAGCGGCAGTGTGGGCTGGCGGCGACAGTGCCACACGTGGGAATACCGAGACCTGGTTGCACTGTCAGCTGTGCTGCTGATCTTCTGGGTGACCTTCTTCGGGGCCTCAGGCTCCCGCCCCCCCTCCTAACCCCCGCTCTTAGTGTGATCTGCCTACCTGGGCTGGAGGGGGCGAAAAGCACCGAGGTGTCTCAGTAGTCGGGGGCAAACCCCACACTGTGTCCTTAGCCTGTGACTGCCAGAGGCTGGGAAGGGGTGACAGGGGAGGGATCACTCCCTCTGGGGCACCCTGTATTGGCCGCTGTCAGGAGCCAGGATCCGGGGCTAGCTGGACCATTGGTCTGACCTAGGACGGCCGTTCTAATACCCAGTCCCTTTAACTTGCAAACCACACCGGCTCCCAAAGGCCTGCCTTACTTGTGAAAATGGGACCGAGGCCCCTACATCACACAGGGATTTTTAAAAATTGTGTCCTAAGCTCTTTGCAAAGGCGCCACTTCGGGATGTGGGGGGAGGCAGCAGCTGTGTGCTCCAGGACGCAGTTCGCTTTTCATCCCATTCCCCGGATGCTAATGCAAAGATCCATCTAGCCCCGTGCCCTGTCTGCCAACAGTGGCCAATACCAGATGCCCCAGAGGGAGGGAACACAACAGGTAATCATCACACAATCCCTCTCCTGTCATCCCTTTCCAGACAAACAGAGGCTAGGGACACCAGTCCCACCCATCTTGGCAAATAGCTTCCATGAATCTATCTGGCTCTTTTTTGAACCCCGTTAAAGTCCTAGTCTTCACCACATCCTCTGGCGAGGAGTTCCACAGGTTGACTGTGCGCTGAGTGAAGAAAAACATCCTTCTGTTGGTTTTAAACCTGCTGCCTATTTGGTTTTTGCCACGCGTGCGGTTTATCTAACTCTTTACACTTTGCTCCATTGGGGAAGTGGAGCTAGACCGGCCCTCTGGTCTCCACGCCAGCAGAGCGACACATCTCAAAACAGCCCCCCAAACCAAATAGAAAGAAAATACCCAAGACGTTAATTTTTATTCATTTTAGTTTTTGGTTATTTTTTAAAAAACCCAAAGTCTAAAGGTTTAGGCCTAAAGCGACAGCAGTCGACTCCTTAAGGAAATAACGAAATGGATTAAAACAAGCCCTAAAAGTAGTTTCTCTTGATCTGAAAGGGAATCCTGGGTCACTTGCTGGCTAGTCCAATAGGGGTTCCTCGTTCTATTCTCTTTGGGAGTGGGAGCGTGGGTGGGAATTTGGTCTCTCGAAACAAGAGGAACCACCCTGACAGGGGGCAGAAGGAAAGTCAAACCCCCGTGATAAAATAAATAAAAGAAAGAGGCTTGTGACAAGCTGAAAACAAGTGCTGGCTCCTCTCAGTCCCAGAACCCTCTTCCCTTGGGTAATAACTCCCCAGGAGGGAAAAGACGGCCCAGTGCTTAGGGGGCTAAGTCAGAACTCTGGAGACCTGGTTTCTGTTCCCTGGTCTTTCCTCCTCCTTCCTGGCTGGGCGACCTTGGGAAAGCCATTGCGAGCAGGTCTATGCCACGGTCACTGGGCGCTTCCCCCTCGGATGTAGCAAACCCGCTTCCCCAAGCCGCTGAGGGAAGAATTCTTTCACTGATTCAGCTGCTGGGGGGCGAGATCCACTGAACGAGTGTCCTGGGGATGCACATTTTTTCTACCCCCCTGCAGGGGTGGCAGGTTTGCAGAAATGGTGGTGAGGCTCAGAATGCCCAGAGCTCGCAGCCCTCCCGGACTCAGACGGCCTGCCCCACACCTGCCTACGGCTCTGGGAGGAAATGTTAGGTGGGGACGGGACTGGGGTGCAGGGGGGTTACAGGCCCTGGGAGGGAGTTTGGGGGCAGGGGGAGCTCTGTGGTGGGACAAAGAGGGGTGCAGGCTTTGGGAGGGAGGTTGGGTGCAGGAGGGGGTGAGGGGTTGGGCTCTGGGAGGGGATAAGGGGGGCAGGCTGGGAAGGAGTTTGGGGGCTGGAGGGGGTGAGGGTGTAGGCTCTGGGAGAGAGTGGGGTGAGTGCAGGGAGGGTGGGGGATGCTGGGGCTGGGAGACACGCCGGGGGGCGCATGGGGGCAGGAGGCAGCATTGAGGGACACTGGGACGGCAGACAGGGCTGGGGGAAGAGACCGGACCCCAAACTTCAGTGTAGCAGGCCTGCGGGCCCATATAACTCACTGCCTATGTCCCCCGTGTGACCTAGACGGGCCAATCTACATTTTACATACAAACCAGGCCTTAGTCTCTCTGTGGCTCCGTTCCCCCTCTGTCCACAGGAGCTCATAGCACCGCCCTGCCTGGTGGGAGACGGGTACGTGACAGATTGCAAGGGACTGCAGTAATGGGGCCAGCTAAGCACCATAGACAGACAGACCGACCAACATCTACCACCCCTCTGACAGGGCAGAATGATCGCACCCCCTCTGCTGCTCTACCGACCCCTGAGTCCTCTGGAGTCGTTGGTGCCGGGGGCCATGTGGACCGTCTCCAGCACGGCAGTTATTTACTAAATACATGTGGGAGAAAAAAGGCCCGTTCAGTCATCCGCATTGCAAGGCAGGATCCTTCCCTGCGGTCCAGGCAGCAGTCTCGTCCCACTGTGTCCCGCGGGCTAACAGATCTCACCCGTCAGAACCCTTGATCTTAGCCCAACCTGCTGCCAGGCCTGGTCTCTGGGTGGGCTGATGCGGAGGGCCGGGTCAGACCCGGAAGTCTCCGAAACAAATTGCCTTCTGCTGCCGTCCCAACAGGGGCTGTTGCACAGAAGGGCCGGGTGTTGAATTTTGGGAGTTGTTCCGGGGAAGGTGGGTAGGGGGGCTGCTCTAGAACAAAGGGGAATCCTGCCCGGGTTATATCTATGTACAAAAAACACCTTCTGTCCCCTGCCTGACGCCTGTGTTAATATTGCTTTGTGCCTAGGAGAATCCAAGTATAAAAATAGAGCATCTTTGTTTAAAAAAAATACAGGGTGATGGGGTGGCAACGTGCAGCACGATGGATGTGCACGGGGATGGGCAGGAAACCCGGCCCTGTGCAACGCGGGGTAGCGGTGATCGTGCCATGTGCAAGAGAATCAGTCCTACGTCCAGAAGGGGGCAGCGGAGCGGGTCGGCGTGAGGGGAGGCAGACGGCACGGGCCTAGGTGCGGCGTGGGGCAGCGGCGTGGCTCTAGCCGTGGGGAGGGCAGACAGCACCTCCCTTCGCCCCGCAGGGGCCGGCAGCGCCATGCCAAGCCTGGGGGGGGCAGTGGGCACTACGTGAGGGGCCGGGGGGCGCGGGTGCGCTTGGTCCGGCGCGTCGGGGAGGAGGACCCCACGAACTCAAACTGCTTCTGCCGCTCGGCGTTGTTGGGGAAGGGCAGCTGGCCACGGTAGAGGCGCTTGATGAAGTGCGCCTCCTGCTGGTTCTGGCGGCTCTTGGTGGCTTTCCGCGGGCGACCCTTGCGCGTGAAGGCCATGTACCAGCCCTCGTGGCGGGCGTTCTGGAAGGCCGTGTAGTTGTTCTCCAGCACGATCTCCGTGAAGATGCAGTCTTTGCTCTTGCCGTTGGGCTGAAGGGATGGAAGGGGGAGACGGGAGGTTAATCCAGCTGGGAAAAGGTGAGGATGGGTTTGATCCTAGGCCACTTCTTTTTGCCCGAATCGAGGCCCGGAAGGATCTAGCAGCAAGAGGAGGTGCTGGGTGGCCAAACATCATGGAAGCCTGGGGAGTTTCCCAGGCCCACCGGCAAGCGGTATGAGGGGAACCCGGACTCTCTGCCCCATTCAGGGCATGGCCGCTGTTCAGAGGAGGCTAGACAATGCTCATCAGGGAGCAGTTTCTGGGCTCCAAGGGCAACTGGACCGCGACTCACCAAATTCATAGGATCACAGAAATATTGGGCTGGAAGGGACCTTGAGTGGTCACCCAGCCCAGCCCCCTCTCTGAGGCAGGGCTGAGCCAACCTAGACCCCCCCTCTGAGCTACTGTCAAAAGCGTCCAATGCTGGGGATTTCACAACCTCCTTTGAAAGCCTGCCCACGCTACGGGGAACCTCAAAATGAGTCCGAGGCAGGCTGCATTAACGTGGGTGCGTCACCTCGGACTCAGAGCCCCAGGAAGCACTGTATTACTTCCAATGACTCTGGAGAGTCATTATTGCATCCACATGACCCTATTTCGAAAGAAGTGTTATTTCACAAGGAAAGCAGCAGCACAGATTTCCAAATAACGGGCTTGGTTGTGTGGCTGCTGCGCTTGTTATTTCAAAAGAATGGGGGTTATGTGGAAATAACTCCCGAGTGCAGACCAGGGCTCTGTGGAGGCCCAGCCTGCTGGGTAACTGCGGGAGCACAGCTGGGGTGAACCAGCGTAGCTGCGTTGACTTTAATGGAGATAGTTCAGTGTTTCTTAAACTTTTTAAGACCGAGGAACACCAAACAATTTTTTTATATGAGAAACACCATGAATTTTTTGTTGAGCAAAAAAGAAAAGAGGTTTGGGGGGGGGGGAAGGGTCATGGGGAAGTTATTGAGCAAAAAAAAAAAAAGTCGCCTGTCTCTTTAAGGGCGGCCATTTGGAATTCTGTTGTTCTCCGCGGCACACCCGACTGCCTCGCGCACACACAGTTTAAGAAACACTGAGGGTATGTCTACACTACCCCGCTAGTTCGAACTAGCAGGGTAATGTAGGCATACCGCACTTGCAAATGAAGCCCGGGATTTGAATTTCCCGGGCTTCATTTGCATAAGCCGGGTGCCGCCATTTTTAAATGCCGGCAGTTCGAACCCTGTGCCGCGCGGCTACACGCGGCACGGAGTAGCTAGTTCGGATTAGGCTTCCTAATCCGAACTAGCTGTACTCCTCATTCCACTTCTCCAAAGGATTAATGCCCACAAAACAGATATCAGACAAGATCACAAAGAGAAAACAGTTTCTTGCCACTTTAACCAGAAAGGACACTCTCTAAATGACTTAGCCACCTGCATTCTGCTACAAAGACCTTTTACATCTGCACTTGAAAGGGAATCCTCTGAACTGTCATTCATGTTAAAATTCGACACTTGCCAACAAGGACTTAACAAGAATTTGAACTTTCTCACCCATTACCAAGACAGTTTCCCCAATTATCACCTGTAATACCATTAACTCACAAACATCCCACTCTCCCTACCTTTAATATCAGCAATTCACAGACACTTACCTTCCTTCCTCCCCCTTCCCACCCCCCGCATCCCCCTTCTGTTCTGCAATGTGATTTGTCCTTTTCATATTTGTTCATTTTTTTTAATTGTATCCTTTGGTATATATGGTTGTGACTACTTTCTTCCACTATTTGATCTGAGGAAGTGGGTCTGGCCCATGGAAGCTCATCATCTAATAAACCATCTTGTTAGTCTTTAAAGTGCTACATTGTCCTGCATTTTGCTTCCTCTGAGATGGATTCCAATAAGACAGACGAGAGATGCGATAGATTCAGGCACTGGAGGCCAGCAGGGCCCGATCCTTCATAGATAACAGGCCACTGCATTTATTTCACCCCATTATCCATGAAGAGATGGGGATGCCACCACTTCCCCCAGCGGGGTTCCACCCCTGGATACAGTTAGAAAGCCAGCTTCCATGACCGGGGTGGGGATAAGGCACGGAATTGGGGGGGGGGGAGCACGGATCCCTGTCTGTGACTCACTTTTCCAATGAGCTTCCCCCTCTTGCTCATGCAGATGTATTTCTGGCTCTCGGCTCCCTTGATGCGGACCCGGCTCCCGAAGGTGTCTGTCTCCACAATCAGCTTTGCTGCAGGGAGGAGAGAAAGAGAGAGAGAGGGAGAAAACCAAAACTCCTTCTACCGGTGCTTGCGGGGGTGACGGCCAACCTGCACGCCGGGGGTTGGTGCATGCGCTCAAACTCAAGAGCCAAATGGGTCAAACTACCAGGAGTTAAATGATCTCAGCTCTGCAGCACACATAACCTAGGGAACCTGGCGGGCACTGATGCAGTTTTCCGCCCTACCACATACTCCAAGAGACACAGGGCACAGCTCCATAAGGAGCTGCAGGCTGACACTCGGCTCAGGGAGATGGAGCTGGGCTAGAGTGCGAACAGCGAACCCCCCTGAGTACCCACCCATCTCAGACCACAGGCACGAGTTTGGGGTGGCTAGATGTTCACGCCGCTGTGCTCATGCTCTGCTTTTAGCATGTCTGCACCATCAGAGTTAGCATGAGTGAGTCCCCTGGAGCTAGAGGTTTGTGTAGAAGTGTGTAGGCCCCCTCGCCCTCTGTGTGCTTTCTTGCACCAGGGGGAGACCAGCTGTGCCCCCTCAAAGAGGAGCTATGGGGACAGATCTCATTAAATCGTCGCGGCACCCAAGGCTTTCCCCTCACTAGCTAATGGGGCCAAGAGACAGAAATCTGAGTAACCGGAAGGCTTGAGTAAAGAGTGAGTTGGCAGTTATATCCTGCCATGTCCAGCAAGCAGTCATCCACTGCCTCTGCCCCACGTAACGATCAACAAACCCTTCATGAAATCCTAGAACTGGAAGGGACCTCGATAGGCCCTCAAGACCAGTCCCCTGCCCTCATGGCAGGACCAAGCACTGTCTACATCAGCGGTGCACAATCCGTGAGTCGCAGCGCTTTGATCTGGGCCGGCTGGTATTTTCTTTTCCTGGCTCAGCCCCCGACATACACTTGGCGGGGATGGGGGGGAGCGCTTAAAAGGGGTCGTAAAATTTTCATGTCATGTTTTTTTTTTTGGCTCAACAAAAAATGATCCTTTTTTCTTTTCTTTTTTTTAAATGCCCAACAAAAATTTTCCCGGCTCTGGGGGTCACGAATGAACAACGGTTGAGCACCATTGGTCTAGATCCGCCCTGAGAGAGGCCTTGCCAACCTGCTCCGAAATATCTCCGGTGATGGAGATTCATGGGGGCATGTGATGAAAAACGGCCACTGCCACGAGCCCAGAGTGTCAAAACACACAGCGAAGAAAAGGTTAAAGTGGCAAAAATGCGGTGAGGGCGCAGGATGATTGGCGCTGCAGACTGCGTGCCGCTTGTCGCCGGCGCGGTTTAATTGCCTGAGAGTCCATTCCACATGCTTTAATGAGAACACTTGGGGGCCAAGGCGTTCCAGACCAAACTAGGAATATCCTTGCAACCCAAGAGCTAGCCTGCACCTGCGTTTAATTATCTGTTGCCTGCACCGGTGGGTGTTTAATTAATCTGGAGAAAGATCTGGAAAGCGCAGGGCCTGGAAGCTGGGCAGTGGGGCTCTTTTAACCTCTGTCTTGCTTGAAACAGCCTTTCCTTTTTTCACGGAAATCACAGGTTTTTAGTAAGGAAATTAGGGGGCGTCTTCTGAGGTTCTTTGAGACAATTCCCAATGCCTAAGACCACATCAACGGGGAAGGGGAGATTGTAGGAGCAAAATAGCCCATGAATAAGTGTCGTACGCTGCAGGAGGGCTTTGACTGCTCTGAAAAATAGAATCCTTGGGTAGAAGAGACCTCAGGAGTCATGAAATCCAGCCCCCTGTCCAAGGCAGGACCAACCCCAACTCAATCATCCCAGCCAGGGCTTTGTCAAGCCGGGACTTCAAAACCTCAAGGGATGGAAATTCCACCGTCTCCCTAGGGAACCCATCCCAGTGCTTCCCCACCCTCCTAGGGAATGCTGTTCTTGGAGGCCCAGAATAAGGTCTCTGAACCGCGGAGTGGTAGTATTACTGTAGGGCTTAGGAATCTCAGAAGCACCACACCATGGGGCAAGGACACACGTCCCTAACAGTATGTCTACGCTACAGAGTTTTGTCAGGAAAATGGCCATTTTTCCAACAAAACTTGAGGAACGCCCACACTGCAATTGTGCTCTTCTGCAAGAAAATCGAAAGAACAGAGGGGTTTTTTCCAGCATCGGTCATCCTCATTCTGTGAGGAAGAAGAATGAGGGGAGGAGGGAGTTCTTTCGGAAGAGGAGGAAAGAGGAAAAAGCACAGGTGCCCTGGTGGCCACTCCGCCCATAGCAATCGCAGCTCACATGCGAGGGAGCGTCCATTCAGTGCGGATGCTCTCTTTTGAAAAAGCAGATCGCTTTTCCGATGCACTTTTGCAGTGTGGACGCGCTTTTTCGGAAGACATTTTTTCGGAAGATCTCTTGAAGGGAAAAGCTTGAAGACCTGACCTGGGTTTATTCTAAAGGCTCAGAAACCAGATGGCAAATAATAAGAACCCCAAATATAGTCATTAAACCCCCCCCATGATTTTTAACCCAAGCTCATAATTTTTTTGGGGGGGGGCTTAAGATGTGCGCACTCTAAACTCCGGGATCCTTTTCTATTATGGAACCCTTTGGAGGTGGGAATTATTTCGGAGTACTTGTGGGATGGGCACGCTGCACCCAGGCTCTCCAAAAGTGACTTCCGAGGCGCTCGGTTTGCAGGTTAGGCCCTCTGGGGAAGGGTGAATGGCAGCCTAAGAAAACCGCAAGCTATTGTCCCGAGCCGTGAAACCTCAGTTATGCAGTTGCCTTTCCTTCCGGCTGTCTGTTCCCAGAAGAGCAACCCATCCTGCTGCCCTATGGTGTGCCCAGGCAGGGTTACAGGGACTTGACACTGTGCATATGGCCCTGATCTAGGAACTAGTGGAAACAATCAAACAACCAGAGCTCTTGGGTTTTAGGACCTAGCGGTTTGGTATCTAGTTCCTTTGCCTTTCAACCCCCTTTGCCTGTCCAATCCGCACGGGCACAACCGCCATGCGTATATAAAGGGGCCACGAATCATTTCGGAGCTGGAAACTAGACGGTGTCCAATCAGAGGAGCAGGCTGTGCCAGGCAGCCGACTGGGATGGAGCTAGATACATTGATGAACAAGATGAAATGATGCATTGGCAGGTGATGACCCAGGAGGTCCCTTCCAGGCCTGGGTGCCTAGAACCAATACACTGTATGTCCCAATTCCTGATGGGTTCCTAGCCAAAATTCCCTCCTCTGCAGCGTTAGCCCATCTCTCGTTACAATCTCTAAGGAAAAGCCTCTACCCACACTTGGAGGAGGAACAGAATCTAATTTTAGTGCAGCAAAACAGCATGCCTGCCTCCGACCACTCGACTGTTACAGCTGAGTTAGGGGAGCTATTGTTTTGCTGGGCCGCTGGGGAATTATGGATTGAATCCTGCTCCGGGTTCCTTCCTTGACTGGAGCGGGGCTGGCTCTAGATAGAAAACCCACAATCCAGCTCCCTGATTAGGTGATAGGCCACTGACTTTAATGGGAGTTGGCCCGATTCCTCAGCAAGTGCAGAAATTGGCACCTGGAGCTTAAAAACCATCCCAAGCTCGCACCAAGGTTTCTTTGCCAATTCTCTGATCTGCCGCACTCTGGGGAAAACAAACGTTCGCCTTTCTGTTTGTAATGAGACTGTTTCAATCAAGCAGGACGATAAAGGTTTTTAGCAGCTCTCCTTGATATGGCCATAGCTACCCCGCCACCAGCTTCCTGGGCAAGACTCATTCTTCTGTTCTCGTCTGATCTCGAACAATTCCTCAATAAACATTTCCCCGCTCTGGGAGAAGTTTTAATCATTATGTTTTGTCCTGCAAAGGAGTCTTCCTTTTATCGGCTGGCATTTTGAAAAAAAAAGATCCTTTTCAAGCCATTCATCTCTCTGCCAACCCTTAAAATAATTTGAAAAACCTCAAAACAAATTGAGCTGCCTGGCGCTTCATTTGTGACACAGAATCTTGAAATCTTCATCCGGTGGTCAGAACAAACTGCAACCATCTGATTGTATATTCTAACAGACCCTCCATGTGATCTTACTCATGCCCCCACAGAAGCGAAAGGCTACGTCTACACGGCAGGTTTCTTGCACAAGAACTTTTTGCACAAGAGTTCTTGCGCAAAAAGTTCTTGAGCAAGACTGTGTCCGCACTACCATGTGCTTTTGCACAAGAGCATCCATGGCAGCATGGGTGCTCTCTTGCACAAGAAACCCCTATCCCTGTCCACATGTGCCTTGTAGAAGGCTTATTCCTTGTAGAAAGAGGAATAACTCTTGCGCAAAAAGCCCTGTGTTCTTACAATTTACTGTACTTTTTCTTGTGCAAGAACAGGCTTCTAGTGTGGACGCGCCACATGTTTTTGCGCACAACCAGCCATTTTTGCGCACAAACTCTGCAGTGTAGACGTAGCCAAAGGGTGTGGGACCTAGGGGTATTTTAAACCCAATTCAAGCTTTTCTCTTTGATTTAATCTGGTAGTTGAATGTATTAATCTTCAGTGCAGTTGCCCACATGTGTGTACCTGGAGTCCAACAAGATCTCAACGCAGTGTGTTTCTGATCAGATTTATGTTTAGCCCCCAAATAAACTGATCAGAATATAAATTAAGCAAGAGTTGCATGTAACTATTGTCTCTAAGGTTGTGCTCAATCGTTACTGTAACGAGCTGTTGTACGTCGGAAGCATTACAGTCTTTGATCACAATCAGAACTTTGCCTGTAGCCTCTACAAGAGACATTTCCACAGCCAGGAAATATAAACAACAATCCACGTATTTTGTTAGCTTCTCACATTGGAAGATGAAATCCTCAAGTTTGACTTTTGTCATTGAATGCAAAGGGGTCAAGATTTCACCCCAAGATTCAGTCCCAAGCATACTCGGGGTGGACGGGAGTGGCTGTAGCAAGCCTGTTTTGTATATTAGATCAGACTCGCTTTAAAAATTGTCGCCGCAAGTTCCTGGATATACCAATTGCCAATAAATCATCTTTTGGTTTCTAATACAGGTTGAACCTCTCTAATCCGGCACCCTCGGGACTTGATTGGTGCTGAACCAGAGAATTTGCCAACCTGTGGGAGTGTGATAGTGTCTAGCAGCATTACCAACACTGCTGCTGCTTGCTGGACTGTTAGCAGGGTAAATTGGAGCGAAATAAGAGCACAGAACACTACACATAAACACACTTTATGGGACTGTGGGAAACTTGGCCACATCCCTCATGAGCATCCTTCTGGCCAACTGACATCACGTCGGACCATGGATGCTGCCAGACCAGAGAGGTTCAGCCTGTAGATAGCAGAGTTCAGCTGGCTGCATGGCCGTGTGGCTATGAAACTGGCGAAACTGGAAGGTCTAGTCTCAGTCTCTTTCTTGGGGATATATATCAAAGCAAGAGCTGTGCCTCTTCTTACCCCATGCCAGGGACACTAGTTCTCTGTCCTGTTAAGTGTTTCAAAGCTCTCCCCAGGTGCAGGCACAGCACTGTTATCCCCATTTTATAGACAGAGAAGCCAAGACAGGGACAGGGTTGCGGCACAGGGATGTGCTGGCAATGGAGGGAGTAAAACCGGGGAGACAACTTTGGCACCCCTGTTCTAGACACTAGGTCTCCTTCCTTCTCAGATGCTCTGCTCTATAGGGGAAGCAACGTTCCTGCCCAGAGAAAGACCCAAGACTTCTAATGTTCAGCCCAACCCCTGCTCTCAACACGGAATCCCATTCCCTTCCCAGAGCGGGTATGAGAACCCAGGTGCATACACGGCTTGTCTCCTGCTCTACCCACTAGACCAGGCTGCTTCTTGATTATTAATTATTATTTGCGTTGTGATAGCACCGAGGAGCCCCAGACGTGGCCCCCCGTTATGGCAGGTGCCGCACAGATGCAGAACAAAGAGGCGGTCTCTGCCTCAAGGAGTTTACAGTCTAACCCCAGCAGTGCGACTCGCCCTGGTGTTAGAACTGGTCTCTCTGGCCGGGTCCAGATGTGGAATCTTTGCACGGCCGGCAACCACTTCCAGGCGTGGCCGATAGAGCCATCACTCAGAATTGGCCAGTCTCTTTTCACCCCAGATGGCTGAGATCCGGCCAGGTGCTCAGGGGGGAGGGGGGTGGGGTATCTCCAACTCCTTACCGAATTTGTTGCCATCCTCTGCCGTGGCGGTGATCCTTTTGCCGTTCACCTGGACGTGTTTGCCACTGGTCCGGCTGTAGAGCTGGTACTCTCTGATCTGCCTTCGGCTCAGCTGGTCTGTCATGGCGCCCTGGTCCCTCACGTACTGGTTAAAATTAGGAGACGGTTGATTCTCCCCCTTTGTTTACAAAGGGAAAAATAAAATGGATTTGTTTTGGACAGCCCCACAGACATGGCGAGGATATGGAGCTGGGAGCCATCCCGGGCAGGGGTCTGTGACCCTGGGGAGCACGCCATGTGTCAGGAGACAACACAGAGAGCAGGGGATGGAGTTTGGTCCTAGAGGGGAGGTCCCATACAGCTGGAAATGAGACCCCCCCGGAGTCTGTGGACAGGGTCACTGCATTCCACGCACGCTTGTGTATAGATTTTAGATTCCGAGACATCATGGGGTGCAGAGGGGTGGGGATACGCCCCTTACGTCCCTGCTTTGGCTCCTTCCCAAGTAGATAGTGACCTAACGTCATTACCGCCTGCTGGCTGTGCACTGACGGATGTGAGGTGAGTGCTCTATCCGGTGCCCCTAACACCAGTCACCCATGTTCTCACTATTCTTTTTCATCCATTGGCGGAATAAATTTTGTGTGTGCACCGAGGCCTGTGTGAACGTGCACCACCGGTGGAAATCAAACCCCTAGCTGTGGGTGCTCTGCTCGTCAGCTGGGCGGCATTTGAATCTCTCCTGAGTGGCTGCACAAACCCACAGCTTGCAGGGAACGCTGCTTGTGACCCCAGATGGATCTAGCCAGCAGCCTCAACAGAGGGCGGCATGGGGCCTGAACACCCCGCTCCCCTCTGACATACAGAGAGGCTGAATCTGGGGTGAGGCTGGGGACAGACTTTGCCGGGGTCTGGGTCCCTGGAAGGGGCGTGGCCTCGGGCAGAAGGGGCGGGGCTAGAGACAGCCAGAGCTGCCCAGACCGTGGTGTGCGGGGCTCTGGCAGCGATTTAAAGGGCCCAGTAACCACTGTTGACATCACAGCAACAGCCTAGAGTCCCAGGCTTTTAAAAATCCCCCACCCCTTGCCCTCCCCCGCCGGCAGTCCTGTGTGTGGGTGTCAGCTCATACTGCCGCCCCCCACCCTGCTCCCGCCCATAGGCTCCCTCCTAAGAAGAGATCAACCGGTGCCTCTCTCTAGCCACATGCCTGCCTAGGCAAGACCCGCCCCCCCGCCATGCCTCCTGCCCCCTCGGAGCGCCAGCCCGCTGGGCAGCAGTACCTCCTGTTTCCATTACTTCTTGGGATTGGTAAGAGCCCTGTGCCTCGCCACCCCCAAAGTCCTGCTCGGCTGGGGTAGCAACCCGATTGCTATGGGGAAAACAAGTCTCCTTCGGTGTCTGCAGAAACGTGACCCCCATCGAGGATCATCTTCTCTCCACCGGTTTGTCAGTCTCTCCATGCGTCTGCTTATCTACTAGAGCCGTCTCTCCACCACATAACACATCATCTGTGTCTGTCCATCCATCCAATATAATGCTCTAATATAAACCTTCCATCTACCGTAAATAACCATCACCCATATGCCCACAATAACACTGTCCCCACACACCCTGTATCTATCTGTCCCCACACACCACTCCTATCTATCCAGCCAGCCGGCACTACAATTGATAGGTACTTCCCCCCCATTTCTTTTTCTGTTACAAATTCTGAGCGTCCCCCTTCCCCCCACCCCACTCAATCTCCTCTGAAGAAGTGGGTTTTGCCCACAAAAGCTCATGCTACTCTGTGTATATTTTGATAGTCTCTAGCTAAGGTGCCACACTTGTGGTTTCTATCGATCTAGATTGCGTATTTGCGTTAGCGAAGCAGGCAGGAGCCCCGGTGCTGGAGCAGAACCCATGGTGTCAGGCGCTGTACAAACACTGAACCAAAAGACAGTCCCTGCCCTAACGAGCTTCCAGCCTCCTTGTCTATTTTCCATGCCCATCGTCGTGGCCTCTGGCCACCTTAGGAATGGGATTCTTCAGACACAGGGCTGGGTAGCTCCACTGGGGAGAAAGGAGAAGAGATGAAGTAGTAAAGACACTCCCCCCGCCCGACTCTCGCTGTCGTTAGTGACCACAGACCACGGGCGGAAGGTGGGCAAGTAGGTGTCCAGTATTTTCTCAATTTTTTTTTTACCGGACAGGAGACAAAAATATTGGGCTGTCCAGGTCAATACCTGACAACCCTATCTCAGCACCCCCCAGCGCCGCTCTCAGCCAGATGGATTTCCAGCACCCCAGCCAGTGCTGTCCGTAGTACCCCAGCATCACCCAGAGCCTCACTGCTCCCCCAAGATCCTGAGTAGGGGAAGGGTTAAGTGAGGGAGACCCAGGTTCACTGGCAAGGGTCCCACCCCCACACGCTGCAGAGGAAGGGGAACAGCCCTGCTCCAGGTCCCTGCCAATCTTCCTTCCTGACCCCTGATCAGCCAGCCAAGCACCCGGGGGGGAGAATGTTCCAGCCACCGAGCCCTGGCCCTCCCCATCCTCGGTCCAGTCTCTAGCTGTGGCCATCCCTGACGCTACCGAGGACTGAAAAAAGCCAGACCGCACTGGGAGAGGAAACAAATCCCTTCCCGACCCCGCCAGGCAGCTGGCTGAAACCCTGAAGCATTAGCGTGTAGGCACGTACGGCAGACTGGAAGTGAACCCTGCCCCCACCATCACAGGCAAAACCGTCTGCACTTGCACACAAGAGCCACCGGGACAGAAATGCTTCAAAACCCAGGCCAATCCCAAACCATCCGCCAGCCTGGGTGAGCCAAGCCCCCTCTCGTAGGTGGGAATTCCCAGCCAGTCCCTACAAAGGAGTAAAACCGCGACATTACCCCAAGTTCGCTTGAACGTGCTTCCTCATTAACGTTCCCTGTAAGCTGGGTGTGTGTGCGGCTGCTCGGGAGAGATTCCAATGCCGCCCAGTTGTTTTTACGGGTGGTGCCCATCTACGCATGCCTCGGTGCACAGAACAAAATTATTCCACACCTGGATGGAAAAAATCTGCATGCGGCAGCTAGAAAAGATGAGAGGGAACATTGTTCCCCCACCATAGCAATTCGTACTGCTGTGGGAAGCTCATTCTACTCTATGGCTCAGCCCTCAGTGATACGGGACTCAGAATGGGCAGAATCCTGCTCCGGTGGCTGTAAATGAAGTCAAGTGTTGAACCCACAGTGCGGGACTCACAGCTGGAAGCTCCACGTATGTGTGAGAAGCAACTAGACGTCCATGTCACACCCTGTAACAAGCAGGACGACAACCACCTGGGGCAGCAGACTTTCCTTTTAGTTTCAATCGCAGTGAGGTTCCCTGCCCCAAATTTTGCTTTCAGCCTCAGAGCCACAAAACGCAATGTGGAACTTGGGGTCCGACCTCTCCGGTCTCGTTGGCTGCTGGTGTCCAAGAGGATCGACTCGATCCCATACACCAGCTCACATGTGCTCCAAACCCGGCCTGAGCCACCTGGAAAGTTTCCTAAACTGTAGCAAACAGGACAACAAACTGAATTTTTCTGTCCCAGCAGAGACCCAGAGAAGACTGATGTGTTTGTGGCTCTGCATGCAAACCTTTTGTGCCGCTCTGGCTACATGCATGTGTGTCAAAGCATATAGACTGAATCCCCTTCTCCCCCCGCCCCTCAAAGTTACAAAGGAGAGGGACAAATTCTGCTCAGATATACTTAGGTTGCAACCCCACTGGCCGCAAGCCATTATGGAGACTATGTGAGAGCAGAATCTATAGCTCAGCCTTTCACGTTTACACTGGTATAACTGTTAACTCCAGCAGCATTACTCCGGATTTACACCAGTGTAACTCACAGCGGAATCAGCTCCCTCGGAAAGGCGGTTACATAAAGTGTGTATTGTACCTAAGCAGGCTTTGTGACTTATGCTAATGCCCTGGCAGAAACACACGTGCATTATTGTATGGTAAATACCAACTAATTACAACAGCCATGCTGGTGAACTACAATGCTGATAATCCTCACTCCCTACCATGGATACAGAGCTATCAGGGAGCAGTTAAACTTCAATCACTGTCTTTAACTATGCATTTTATTGGTACGAGAAGGGGTCATTTTATCTCTATGCAAGTGGAATAGGAAGGCTGGATTTCAAGAGCTAAGACAGATTTTCAAAACTCCTTAAGAGATTTTGACACGCAATTCAGGTGGTCACATTTTTTAAACAAGAAGTGGCTTTTTTGACTAAAATAAATTTCCCACAAACATCTATATATTTTGCTTAAAATGACTGAGGGTTTCAATTTTAAAATACAAAAAACATTCTTGGGGGCAAATATTCAGTTTTTGGTTAAAAAAATTGATACAAAGATTATTTTTTTTGGTGAGGGTTCCAGCAAAAAAATTGGAGGATAATTTTCAAAACCTGAATTTGTTACCACCAACAGAAAATGTGCCAAAAGCAGTCATCAGAAGCTGGAAAAAAAAAATCTTTGCTGTTGGAAATATTTCTACAAAAATTAGAAAAAAAAATTGTAATACTTGGATTTTTGAAGCAGCAGGAGTTCAAATCTCTTAGCCTTGTAAAGATTTCAACCAGAATGTAGATCTTTAGCTTGCACTCGACACATAGGTAAATCCATCTGTAGCCATGTAATGTTCCCTATTGCCTTCAGTGGAAGACCACTGATTTACCCCAGCTGATTTCAATCAGGCCAGGATTTCACCCAGCTAAGAACAGAGATCTTAAATGCCTATTGCTAAGCTGGCTCTCAGTCAGATGTGCATTTTGTCTTTGACTTCAGATGAAGCAGGCTCATGCCCTGTCTTTGTATCACTTTAATCTGCCCCAAATTTCTCTTTAATCTGCCCCCAAATTTCTCTGAGAGCTGAGCAAAGATTTTCTGTAGTACCAACTTCAGCTCATCAGAAACACCCACAGAGCAGTGACACAGACCACTGCGTTGACACAGAAGTTCTTGTGGCAAAAGGAAAAGGGTTCTGGTCTGTGGCTGATCGCCATTTTCGCGATCGGGGCTTTTTTGCGCAAAACAAATCTGAGCTGTCTACACTGGTAAACTTTTGCACAAAAGGGACTTTTGCCCAAACGGGAGCAGCATAGTATTTCCGCAAAAAAGCACTGATTTCTTACAGTAGGAAGTCAGTGCTTTTCCGGAAATTCAAGTGGCCAGTGTAGACAGCTGGCAAGTTTTTCCGGAAAAGCGGCTGATTTTCCGGAAAAACTGGCCAGTCTAGACACAGCCTGATTGTCTCTCCCTATATGAATATCTTCTCTCCACCCAATCTGCACTATATGGTGTGTTTCAGATACCTTCTTGTGACCTTATTACCAGAATTTTCAGACAGGCTCAAAACCCACCATCAAGCCCAGATTTTCCAAAGACCTCCGCTTTCATTAAAGCTGCGTTTCTCAGACTGTGGGTCCTGACCCCCAGGAGGGTCATGAGCAACTTAGAGGGGGATCGCGAGCAACTTAGAGGGGGGGTCGCGGTATCACAAAGTTTGAGAACCCCTGCATTAAGGCACCTAAACAGGGGGTTGATTTTTCCGGAAGACTCAGCGTGAGACAGTTTTGCATATCCGGCCTAAGTCTCTGTAACCTTACATTACGGTCATGTGTCCTATCGGGGTTCAAAATAGTTAACAAAGGGTTAATTGATGGCTAATAGATGCTTTCCTACAGGAAAGAGTCCAACAGGATGAAAGGTGGCTTATAATCACGGCTTACAACCCCCATCTGTGGACGTTCTTATGAAAACGCCCATGTTGTAGACTGCTCATTCCGTCCCAGGCTTGTAACAGCTATTAATGTATCGATCCCACATAAAACACGTCGAAATGGTCCCCTATAGTCTGACTATCGTATTTATCGGGAGGCATGGAAGGCCAGCGCATTCGCAGCAGACTCGGGGGTGCAACGCGAGCTGGGCGTCCTGAGGCGAGCAGTTTCCCGGCCGATAGTGAACACTCGTGCAAGCGCTCACCAGCACGAATGAGGCTTGCACGCCGCATCCCCAGGGAGGGTGAAGCCGAGCGCTTTCCCAGGGGAGCTAGCCTCCGAGCGCGGGTGTTCGGACGCGGCCAGTCATTTTGAACGCCTCTGTTTCTCGGGGCGCAACAGGAGACGCTTTAAAGGGCCCTCGCTCTCAGATGGGTGCTCAGCCCTGTCTGGGGATCAGGACCCTTTAACGTCACCCACGCAGAGCGCCCAGAGTCACTTCTGAAAAGTTGGGTGTGGCACGGACGCCATCAGGTGAATGGGCCCTCCCAGGCCCTGTACACGTCTAGGGCCAGCGCCTGGCACTCAGCCCCATGCCGGATCAGACCCTTTGGCAAAGAAGCAATTTTCTTCTTTTGACTCAGGCTGGCTTTTGGATCCGGGCCCCCCTCCTCGCCCACCCTTACTGCCCCTTCCTAGCCCTGTTGCTGTCTGGCCCCATCCATCAGGCTTCCTAGCATCGGGCAGGCCCTGTGTGAACCCTACACAGCGTGGGGGAGGGATGAGCAAGGTAGAAGTGGAGTGACTACAGCTGCCCCTTTTAGATCTTCCAAATGCCTCTTGCTTTTTTTTTTGGCTCTGCTTCTTTCTCCCCTTGAGTGCTCTTTTCTTTCTCATTGCCCATT